CCATTGAGCCTGACCCCAACTCCCTCGACGACGGCGAGATCACGGCTGAGGAGGACATCTTCTACGATGTGGAGGACGCCTATGCTGAAGGCGAAGCTCTAGTCAGAGCTGGCGGCTGGCTGACTCCCGAGCCGGACACCTGCATCCAAGATCAAGGAGCGAGTTCCTTCTTGATCGGCACGGAGTATGCCTTGCACTACTTCAAATGGCTTGAGATGATTGGCTACCCCATGAACAGCCTGATCTTCAAGCGCTGCGACAAGTCCTTCAAGTTTGGAGGAGACGCCTCCGGGCATGCGAGATGGATGGTGGAACTTCCAGTTCGCATTGCTGGCCATCCTGGGCGCATTCAAGCATACATCATCTATGGTGCCACTCCCATGCTCTTTGGACGACCACTCCTCGAGGCACTTCAAGCAGAAGTCAACTTCGGTGCCTCAAAGATGCGACTACTTCACCAAGAATGGCAGGACATCCCTCGCGGTCGACAAGGTGCAATGCTCCTTCGCCTGGCGGCGAATGTGGACGACCCACAAGCTAGCCTTCGAGTCACCTGTCTTCGACTTCCGCTGCGAGGATGATCACTCAGGTCAATACCTACTTCGCCTCCGAGCCCAACCTCATCCCTGAGGAGACCTTCATGGAAGCAGATGATCATGATGATCAAGCCCTGCCTCAGCCTGGAGAAACGGTCAAGACCATCGAGCAGCTTCAAAAGACCATGTCATGGATCGAAGCTCAACTCCAGCATGTCCAACAAGAGATCCTCCATGCTCGCGATAGAGGTCAGCATCGACGGAGGAAGCTGATCTGGGAGGTCTACGTTGGCGAGGGCAAGATCACGAGCCTTCTTCAGGCCCATGGTGATGTGGAGGTGATGCGATTTGGCCTCAGTGACGGCTGGGACTTCAGCCGAGCAAACCACAGAAAACAACTGCTGCGGCTATGTGATGACCTTGAGCCAGATGAGATCTACATGTCACCAAAGTGCACGCTCTGGTCACGTATGCAGCAGATCAACATCACCAATGAGGAGCAAGCGGCTGATCTTGCAGAACGCCGAGAGGTTGATGCTGAGACCCACCTCACTATGTGCAAGAAGCTCTACCTCAAGCAGGTTCGCCGCGGCTCTCACGCTCACATCGAGCATCCACGCCTGAGTTTGGCCTGGGAGACCAAACAACTGAGGAATCTGCCTGGCCACAAGGCAGTCTTCGATCAATGTGCCTACGGTGCAACAACCCTCAACGATGACGGCTATGAGATGCCCATCCTCAAGACCACCCGCATCCAGACCACAAAATGGGCTGCGCTTGAGATCATGTCCAAACGGTGCAATGGACAGCACGTTCATCAGCGCCTTGAAGGACGCAACCGCTGCAAACGAGCTGAGAACTACCAGGAAGAGATGGCTTCACACCTGGCCCGAGCACTACTACTTGATGAAGAACTTCATGAACAGGTCTATGCAGTCACCATATTCGCCAATGGCCCGCACCACCTGAAAGAAATGTTGCTCATTCGTGTGAAGGCGGCAGATGAGGATTTGATGGGGTCGAGAGGCGCCTGGAGGCAAATCTCACCAGAAGAGTTGAGCCACTCCCTTGTGTTCCACCTGGCAGATCGGATCAAGAGTCATGCCGAGGAAAAAGAGTTGCAAGCGTGGAAGAACATCATCCAGAGTGCGCCAATGATGTTCCAGGTGTTGGACACGGAGGATTCGGTCTACTGGGAGTCGTACAACTTGCGACAAAGGATATGGGTGATTTGGCTCTTGTTTTGTGACCTTTCTCTGTTTCAGATATGTTTGATTGGTTTCAGTGTCGTTCAACTGTGTGGCAGGATTGTGGCGACCCACGACGCTGTTCGACGCAGCGCTCGGCAGCTTTGTTTTGAAGTTCACCTGTACAAGGAGCGACAGGAGTCTCAGCTGGGTGAATCCTTCGTGCTGAAATGGGCTGCTGATGGAAAGGGTGGCCTCAAGGCCAAAGCACGACTGGTACTTCAAGGATTCTCAGATCCTGACCTACTTCAGGGACAACTTGACACCTCCTCACCGACTTTGTCAAGAAGTTCACGACAGGTGCTCATCGCCCTTTCAGAGGTGCTTTCCTGGGAACGCTGGACTGCGGACGTGGCAACCGCATTTCTCCAGGGAGATCCACAGGAGCGAGTTCTATGGGCACGCGTCCCAAAAGATGCATGTGAGCTCATCGGAGTGCCACCTGGCACGCTCATGAGGTTGATCAAGCCCCTGTATGGTCAAGCTGACGCTCCAAGGCAATGGTTTGCAGTCGCCCGACGCCGATTGCTGCAACTTGGATTCCAAGCACATCCCCTGGACCAATGCCTCTACATGTTCTTTGATGAGAACAAGGTCCTGACAGCAATGGTCGGAATCCATGTGGATGACCTCTTTGGTTGCGGCCTGACTACATCAACTACCTACAACGAGTTGATCAAGCAGCTCAAAACCTCCTTCAACTTCAAGCACTGGACAGTTGAAGGTGAGCGCCCACTCGAGTTCTGCGGATGTCAACTCACCCGCACAGCCACTGAGTCCGTGATGACGCAGGCTGACTACCTCAAGACCATCAAGCCCATGACCTGCGTGGACAACGAGGCTGACAGAGAGTTGAGCCCCAAAGAACAGAGTTCCTTAAGGGCATTGCTTGGTGCACTTCAATGGCCGGCAACCCAAACTTCACCTCACCTATGCGCCTCAGTGTCGCTCTTGTGTGGAGAAGTCACCACTTCCACGGTCAATGTGGCCCAGCAAGCGAACAAGACCCTACGTTTCGCAAAGAACAACAACGACGCCGGCTTGGTGTTCCGCTCTATGGGTGGCTCGCTGGATGACCTATGCATGGTGGCTATGAGTGATGCTGCATGGGGGGTGAGACGCAACAATGAAAGCCAAGGTGGCTATCTGGTGCTCCTATGTCACAAGTCAGTGCTTGAGGACAACACCCTCGACCACGACTACACCATCCTGGACTGGAGGAGTTTCAAACTTCCAAGGATCAGTCGGTCCTCACTGAATGCAGAGAGCCAAGCATGCTCTGCAGCGATGGACGCCCTGGAGTACCTCCTCATCTTCTGGGAAGGATGCCTGAACAGTGACTTCCAGCTGCGCCAGGTCAGCGAGCTCAAGCCTTCACTGCCTTCGGCACTGGTGGTGGACGCGAAAGCTCTCTATGACAGCCTCAAGGCTGAAACTCCAAGTCTCCAAGGAGACAAAAGAACGAAGATCGAGGTCATGGTGACAAAACAAAAGATGTTGGGCATGAACACCAAACTACGTTGGGTCAGCTCGGAGATCCAACTGGCTGACGGGGTTACCAAAACCTCGGCCCGACAGCTGTTTGCCGATCGACTACGCAGCCACAAGATCTCTCTCAGGTCTGACATGACCTTTCAAGCGGCAAAGAAGAAGACCTTAGCTGAGAGGCAGGCAAACGCCCGCAGGCATGCAATCAGCAGGACAGGCAACCACAACAGGCTGGCCTAGATGATCCTGACCTCACAGATGGCCATGGTCCAAGCCTACCAACCGTCGTTCGAGGTGGCCCTCGACTTTGTCTTCTCGCCCGAAATGACCCTCACGCTGTTCATCATCCTGATGACCTATGTGGGATGGAACCTGGGCAGGAAGTGGTCTACAACGACCTCAACGGCTACAAGAACCTACACAGAGACATGGACTATGACAACCTCGAGCTCTTCAACAAGGGACTTTGGAATGCAGGCCGAAGCCTCCGAAGAAAAGAACATGTTCGGCCTCCTTAGAGCTGAAGTCGACCGACTACGACAAGACCTCAGGGACTCCGACTCCTACAACGCCGAGCTCAAGGACAAGTGCGAAGAGTTGGAAAGTGAAAATGATGAGCTGGAGCGACAGGTCGACGACCTGGTGACCATGAGGGACTTCCTCAGCGGCGAGATTGGCGAGCTGGACGGCAAGTACAAGGACATGAGGATGAAGTGGCAGCGCGCGGTGCAGACCCTGATGGACATGCAGCATCGACTGCAGGTCAACCCCTTGGCCCAAGTGGTATGGCGCACGAGAACTGGCAATAAGTACCATGTGGACGCAGAGTGCCAGGGCCTCACCAATGCAGACAAGAGCTCCATGAGAACGCTGGAGTACTGCGCATTTTGCGCGCAGAGAGAAGCAGATGGTTGGCGAGAGTTCACTGGCGTGGACCGCCGACTCCCTTGGTGACAACCACCGGTGTGAAATGCGCGCTGCGCATTGGGCATGAGCTTTTGACCATCCATGGTCGCTGATGCCTTTCCGTCTCGAACCGGCCAACAGAGGCCTCTTGAGCTTCACGCATGGCACGCAAAAGCAGTGCAACCTTTTCGTGTTCCGTGTCGACACTTCGAGCGGTCGATCACTTGAGTGTGTTCACGTTTGTGTTCCACATTCTTCACAGAAACATATTTGAATACAGGAGCCTATTGCCACTTGAAAAAGCAATCAAAAAGGAAGCTCATACAGGGTGAAGTGCTCAAAGAAGGAGGAAGAATGCAGTATATAAAAAGAAAAAGAACTGAACAGTATCTCAAGACAAGTAGCTCATGAGGAATGAGGGCCTGCAAGTGAACCTCTACTGCCTGACCGAAATAATGTGACCATTAAGGGTAGGTAGAGGACAAATGCTATGTGTCCAACCGAAGCACACTTCTGTCTCATTTTCCCAGGCACGATGCTCATCCTTCAAGTGCATAGACATTTCTGCTACTTTGTTTCATGTCCACGGATTCTTTTTCGTTCCAAACGCAGCTTCAGTCATAAAGGCAACACCTGAACGGGCAGGGCATGCGGCAAGAATTCTATAATTCTAGGAATGGGGTTCCTCGTGTTGAGACGGTTGAGGCTGTGGTCTACTTTTGCTGTCAAGCCTTCTATTCTGATATGCAACCCACTGGGAAACTAGGCAGCTCCATGCTAGCTAGCCCAATGTTTTGCTCGCAGCCAACTTCAACTTTCCCAGTTGCGGAAGACCGCATCGCTGGACAGTGGCATGACTTTTGCGCCAGAAGCCAAGAGACATTGCAGCACAAGAGTCCTGGCTCCTGCCAGTTCATCTTACACAATGAATAATTTTGTGATGGTGCGTGAAGGTCCTTTAAAGATGACGAGCAAATTGGTTCACGCCGAGAGCTGCTAGTGCGGCGAGCTTATTCTCATTCTGGTTTGTTGCTTTGTTTACTCGCCTGTTGGTTCTCACTTGCACCTGGGTTTCTTCATAGATTGGTCAGGCTTGGTGCAGATTTGCGGCAGGCTTGGTGCGATTGTTATCCTGCATCCTGGTCATGATCATGTAGAGTGCAAGAAACACAGTTCAACTCGCATGTGTTTCTTTCATTTACCTTATCAAACAACGGCTCTCTTTTGTTGCGCTACAGAAGTGAGCTTGGGAATAGGATGTTTGGCTCCAAAGAGGAGATGCCCTAGTGAATGATTGGATTCGCAGTTGAAATCCGTTGAAGTTGTCCGTAAGAAGACAGACCCCTCAACAGTACAATTGAAGCAAAACTGGCTGCATTGCGCAACGAAATTAAAACTTTTGCGCAGCGTATCCTTTCAGGTTACAATTACTCACTGTACACAGAATCAGCTGCTGAAGATGCACGAATATAATGCAGCCATCAATCGAACTGTCTATTCTCTTTAGCTTTAAATATGCCGCGGCTTCTTGGCTACACGGAAAGAAAACAATATACAAAAAAGTCCGGTTCTCGTTTATACTCGAATAGCACAGTTAGTTTCAAAATATTTATGTAAAAAATGTCCTAAAATGTATACAGGCCTTTGTCAGCCGTGTTGTGACTTCTATGTAGGTGTAGCTGAAAGCATTCATTTTGACATATATACTAACGTTTGTCTCAAGCTCGCTAAGAGGGATACGCATTCAAGATTCAACAGCTTAAAAGCCACAATATATTTATTAATTGGTGCTTCTGCCGACCCAAGCTGGCATCTCAAAGTTTTGTCTCTGTTCCGCACCCGTACCATCTTCGAGCTGCGAGGAGGAGTGCTTGACCCGACAGCCGGGACAACTTTATTATGCTGCTTTATTGCCTGGAAGGGCTTGCCTGTGCTTTGGCCTCCGTACAAGTCGCAGCCTGACGGGAGCGCCTGCAAGCCCCATTGTGGCGCATCGTTTTTTTGGCTGATCGAGCGATTGCATTGGACAGGCGCCAGGTTTGCGATGCTATTTGTTTGTCTCAGAAGCAGGATACGAGCTTCTGAATCATTGCAGGCAAAGTTACGAGATCTTACCTTACTTTCTTACGTCCTTCAGAGATGAAAAGGATCTGTTCTGCTGTTGTGCAATCATCAAGTTGGCCCGGTTAAAGAGTTCCACGCTTTGTACCTGATTGCCGCACTGACGGCTGTGCTGATGATTGGTAACGCGCAGATTGTCGATCCCATGGTTGCAGAGCGGGCAAGATGGGAGCTTGTTGCCGCTTTCAATGCTGCGCAGAGTCTAAGGTGCAAAGTGTTGCACATTCAGCCCGGATGAGCAACCGCCAAAACGTGCAATAACTAATTAATATTTATGTAGTTACGGCCCCGTAATGTAAGATGCACCTCATTCCGCGTGTTCCGCAGTGTTTGGGTTTAAGCTTTGAATGACCTGCTCGGTTTGCGGGTTATTCGGTGGGAACCCCTGTCGCCTGTGCCGTACTCACAAGCGGATCCGTGAGTTGCTTTGCGGTGGCCTGCTGCTCCGTGGTCAGGAGGAGGAGGAGGCTTTGGCAATTCTTCGGACAGCGGCTGGAGCTTTGCTTGATCTGGCCGAGAGCGACAGGACTCGAACCCCGTTGGCTTTGCAGAAGACGCTGGGGGTGGAGCAACATTGACTCCCATTGATCCTTCGGGAGTGAGGCGGGTGACTATATAGTGCACCTGATACCAGTGGTGAGTCGGGACGCCTTTCAGCTCCTGAGCGTGTGGTCGTGAAGAACGAGCAGGAGGACGAGGCCAAGGAGGGTCCATGAAGGACGACGCAGGTGAGGAGGCCCGAGATTCAGCACCGGCCGGGTCGGAGAAGGAGAAAGATGCTGAAGGTGAGGAGGCAGTCAAAAAGAATAAAAGGAGGAAGCGTGGGTCTTTGCAGGAGCCTTAGAGGAAAGAGAAAGGCAAGAGGAGGCGCAGAGAAGGGAGTCCAGTCAAGTCAAGGGAACCTTCACCAGCCCCTCCCCCAGCAAAGTCATCGCCAGTGGCAGGACCAGATTTGGGATTGCAGCCAGCTCCAAAGCCAGCACCATCACACCGGCACCAGTTCGAACCGGGCCAGTTGAGCCCGACCATCCACCTCTTTCGTACGGAGGCGAGCAAAGGGGTCGCCGACCCAGGACTCGGGGCAACAGCCCGCCGCCCAGGCGACTAGGGGATCCAAGGGTGTCAAGCATCGACTTCGGGGCTATTACTACGGATGCCATTGAGAGCAATGGCTCCAAAGGCAAAACCCAAGGCAAAAGGAAAAGCTGTGGCCAAGGCGAAGGCCAAAGCGGCCGGGAGCGCCGGAAGCCGTAGGAGCTCCTGGCCCAAAGGATCGATGGCGATCGGGGGAAGAAGTCGACTTCCACGAGATTGCATTGGAGGACCTGGGTCGTGGCGTGAAGACCCTGAGCATCTGAGATCGAAAAAACCAATCTCAGGATCGGTTTTTGTGGGGATCGGTTCTGGGGGGGATGGGCATCTTAAAAAAACCAATCCCCAACATCAAGAAAAAACAATCCCCAGGATCGGTTTTTGAGCATCAAAAAACCAATCCCCAACATCAAGAAAAAACCAATCCCCAGGATCGGTTTTTACCAATCCTGGGGATCGGTTTTTTACAAAGCCCCAAAACCTATCCCCAAACCTTCAAAGAGAAGATCAGAGGTGTTGATATGACAACCTATATCTTGAAACTGTTTGTTTCTGTTGGCTGGGTCTGCGTGGCTCTGTTTCAAGCCCCCAAGCATGGAAATGGGCATGGCTCTCTTTCAAACCTCACACAAAGTCATTGATCCTCAACTGGTACCCAAGAAGGTACTTTTGACAGAAGGAATCTGTAAGCTTTGTGGCCCTAGTCCCATTGTGCCAAAGTGCTTGGCTTTATTCCAAGCCACCAGTGCAAGGACAGGCGCCAAGTGCTTCAGCTCTGCAGCCTTTCCTTTCAACAATGGCTTTTGCGACCATGGCTTCTCACCATTGGTGAACTGATTGATGGCAATGTTTGTGAACCTTTCTGCGATTTTCAAGATCTTGTAAGCCTCAGAGATCTCTGACCACACTTTAAACATGTGGTGGGGGTCTTCTTCTCTTTTTTTCTTCTCATGTTCCTTGCTTCTTGCTTTCTCTTTTTTTCTTCTGCCTTAGTGGCTTTATCAGGCTTCTGTGGCTTACTGCTGCTTGCCTGACCTTCCAGCTCAGCCAAGAATTGGTCTGGCTCTGGCATCTCTTCACTGTCGCATTCATTCTCTTCAGAAGAGCTGTCTTCCAGGCTCTCTTCCAAGCCATCCATTAAAGCCTTTGGCTTCTTTTTGTGATTATGCCACAGTGCCCTGCTAAAGGCTTCTTCTTCAGAACCCTCTGGCTCCAATGATAGCAAAGCCTTGGTGAACTTCCTATGTTCTTTTTCATTTGTGTCCTTGGCACATGTGGCTTCTAGGCTCTGTTGCAAGCCTTGGTTGAATCTTGTCTTTTCTGAAACCTTGCAAAACTGCCAGATCTTCAGGCCCTTTTTCTTTGCCTCTGGACGGTGGTTGCTTCCTGCTCTCCATATTGCTCACACACCTTTTTCCAACTCACCCATTCCACATCTTTGGTGGCATTCCACCCCTGTGCAAAATTGGCTTTTTGTTCTACATGGCTCTGTGTCAAGCCACCCTGCCTCAGAAATTGAAGCAGCTGTGTGTTTTTCTTTTTCTTGCTTCCAGGGCCAACCATTTGTTTCCAGTTTTCATTTTCTGCTGCAGATCTCTTTTCCATCATGTGGAACAACCCTTGCTTTTGGCTCTGTTGCAAGCCACCCAGGAACTCACCTTCAGTGATGGTTCCATTTTTCAACTCTTCAACTTCTACCAAAAATTTATTGTGGTTCAGCAACTGTGAGGCAGTGAAATTTTTCAAAACAGGTTGCTCTGCCTCAGGATCTTTCTCCTTTGCGGTCTCATCACCTCCTGGGGTTGCCCCTCCTTCATTTGGCTTTGTTTCAAGCCTATCTGCATTGTTACTTTTTGGTATCAGAGTCTTTGGCCTTGCTCTTTGCAGCAGGCCTTTTCCTTGCACCACTTGGTGATATGAAGTCCAAAAAAAGATTGAGCCAGAATAGCTACTGTACAAGGCAACTTTGTGAATCACAAGAATTGTTTTTTTATTCACAAGGTTTGTTTTTCGATTCACAAGACGGTTTTGTGATTCACAAGATGGTTTTGTGATTCACAAAGTGGTTTTGTGATTCACAAAGTGGTTTTGTGATTCACAAGACGGTTTTGTGATTCACAAGATGGTTTTGTGGTTCACAAGATGGTTTTGTGATTCACAAGATGGTTTTGTGATTCACAAAATGATTTTGTAAAATTTGTGAAATGTCTTGATTTCGAAGTTTTTTTATTTCATACGTAATTTATTTGTGTATTTGTTGTACCATTTTTTGATTGTTAAAATTAAATATTTATTGAATTACTCTGTTTTGGGTTCTGTTTTCAGCTTGCTGCTAAGTGCATTCCTAGGCTCTAACTCAAGCCAGTTTACTTTTTGGCTCTCTTTCAAGCCTTCATGCACAGTCTACCACAGCTTCAGCTTGTTGCTGTAATTTTTTCTTTCTGCAACCTTATCACCCCAGAGCTTGTTCAGCTTCTCAAGTTTTGTTTCTTTTGCAGGCTCTGGTTCTGGCTTTGTTTCAAGCCCTGGCACTCATCCTGGGACTTTCTGTCCCAGTCAGCCTCCTCCTCACTCTGATCAGCCCAGCTCCTTGAGCTGGACTGGCTTGCTGTCTTTGGCTTTTTTCCAAGCCTCTGGACACCTCCAGCAGCTTCAAGTTCAGCAAACTTGATTTTTTGCCACTCAACAAAATGCTGCTGATGGGCAAACAGCTGCTGTTCCCTGAGCATGGCCTGCTGGTGCAACATTCCAGCCGAACTGACCAGCTCCTGCTTTCTCAGTTGCGAGGCTCTTTTCCAAGCATCATTCTCCTGCTGGAGTTCCTTGACCCTCCTCCACCTTTGGGACCCTGGTGTCATTTCCCTGGCTGGGGGGCCAGACGGAAATCCATCTTGCTCCCC